CATGGTCCACCTAGGACTTTGCGCTGCTTCCCCGGCGTGCCTTTGTGGTGGCTAAAATGAACTATTGGCTGCCATCTCTTATTTTAATACGGATCTCTGTAGCGGTTCCGTGCTGCTCTTGTGGGGCTCCGGGAAAACCAGTCCCGGATTTAAATCGAAGGTGTGGAAATCAAATCCACTGGGATTCTCCCCATCCTGCGGAACTTCTCAGCTGAGCTGACGGTTATCCTAGCAGGCTCAGGGATGATCGAAGTGACACTCCTGACGCCAGTAAAATGCCTCTCAGTGGAAGGACTTGTCTTGATTAATTGCTGGAGTTTGTTAACGTGTGAGCGGCGAGACCTCAGGGGCCCGTGTCCGCGGGGGAGATAGCGCTTTTCCCACCCGAGGAGTGAAGTGAATGAGCAAAGGTTTTGCGTGAGAGGCTGGCGCGTCGTGTTCCATTGTTTGCCTGGATTTTTAGGTTTGAAATCCAATGCTCCTTGGCTTCAGCAGGACGGGCACCAAACTGCTCAAGCCCCTGGGGAGAGGGGCTAATTGCTGAAGGGTAGGTGCGACGGCGCTCACACGTCTCAAAAGAGGGGCATTTTCAAGTGCGATAGGCAATCGCACTCAGTCATCTGGCTCCTGTGGCTATTGACCTGCGGAATTTGGAAAACCGATTGTGTACTCTCATTTCTTGATTTTTTCTTCTTCTTTCTCTTCATGCTTGTGTGTCCCCTATTGGTCGGTGGGTTTGTGTCGTGGCAACACGGTTGTCTTTTATCTGCCTGCATGGCAACACGATGAAGCGAGTAAGGCTTACCTGCTACCTTTACCTGTACAGACCAGGAGAGACTGACTCGGACAGTCGATCGCTAGGAAATCGTCCTGCATTGCGAACGAGGGTTAGAGCTGGCTGCGATATTGGAGAGAGCGGGGCGGGGAAGAGCTCTTTGCGGTTCTAGTCCTGCCCAGGACGTTACATGGGTCACCTTGCCTCAGTCATCTGGAACGATTGGGGAAAGCTTGTGAATTATTAAGCACTTCAGCAAGGGATCTCTCGTCCTTGAGGGCTGAGATCCCTTGTTCAAGATGACAGGTATTTTTCCAAACCTTTAGAAAGCAGCTACCTTCGCAGCCACCCTGTCCAGCACGGGGGCTGGAGCCTTCTGCCGCCTTCCCACTGCCCTGTCCCGAGCTGCCTGTCACAGAGGACAGGCTGGAACAGGGGTGTACACAATAGGCGTGCCTGATGACCACATTCGGAAAGAAGTGGGTGTTTTGTAGCACCCACTGTAAGAAATAAAAAAACACTTTTATGGGGCTTATGTCTCGGCTCCCGTTAATACTGACCTAATAGCTGCACATAGGAAAGGCCTCTAGAATGGGAATGAGTAGGGATCTGCAGGAGCCTAGTCTCCTGACTAGGAGACCCCCAGGTCAGGGGCTCGTTGTGGAAAGACTTCTGTACAACTCCCTTTATACCTTCATGCCTTTCCTGCTGGTCGGTGAGGATTAACACCACACAATAAGAAGGCGTGTTAAGGAATGTTTATAGAGGAGTTGGGCTTAACCCTCCTGGCTGAGGGCCTGAGGACGAGGAAGTCGGGACCCCTGGAGAGTGGAGGGGGGGTGAGCCAGGAGGGAGCCGGGGGGGGGTCTCGGCTAGCGCTTTCCAGGAAGTGACATCGCAGAGGATCTGTAGATCTTGTAGGCCTCAGAAGATCTCCAGTTTAGAGTAGCAGAGGAGAAGCAGAATGTCCCCACCTCCTGAGCGTTCGTCAAGACCTCCGCAGAACAAAAAACGGACGTTGCCCACCTGCGCTGTGTTTCCAGAGCCCGGGGTGTGTTTCGGCGTCTGGGGGGCCGTGGGGACCGAGCCGAGGCAGCAAGGACAGTCCCAGCAGAGCCCCGGCAGGCAGCTCCTGGGGAGCTGTGCCCTTTGCTCCCGAGTGGGCTGGGTGTCTGGATTCCTTCGAGGCGGGGAGTTTTTTTCCCTCTTGGTTGTCGTGTTCTTGGCTGGGAGCTCGGGGAGCGGCGTGATTTAGAATGTGGTCCTGGTGGGCTGTGATGTCATGATGATCATCTGTGCTGGTCGCAGACCTGTTATTGTAGACCCCCCTCACTTGCTCCTCCATGAGTGTGAAGTCATAGGAAACACTCGCCCCCCACTTGCCAGTCTCCGGTGCCATTCTGGTATAAGTTTTGGGTGGGGGGGGGGGGGGTGGTTAAATATAGGCATGTAGGGGCAGAGGTCACGGACAGTACTACAGGCTTAGAAGGCAACTTTGAGGAGTAAAGACCTCGAGGAGGAATAAAAAGAAGGATCGCACCAATGGTTTGTTCCCGCTGAGACGAAATGAAAGCCAGATGTGCTCCCGGGCCCGGAGCCGTGCCGTTTCTGAGCACGGGGCCTTGCGACTGGCGAGACAGCACCCGGACTCTGGGGCGGATCAGAGGTTCGTCGCACCCCTCCCTCATCCGTGTCCTGTAGATGGTCAGATTCCCGGCCGGTGAGAGGACCGTGCCCTGTGAGTGGAGCCGAGCCGCACAGAAGGGTTATGCGGCTTCTCGGATTCCTTCCTCCTGGTCGCTGGGGGGGTGATCGAGTGGGGAGGGTTTCTGGCTTCATCGCCGCGTTATTTGAGCTCATGTAATCGGGGGAGATCAATACCGATTAAGGTGAGCATCATCCAGGTGG